ATGGTTATTGCTCCAGTAAGATTATAAGGCTTGTTTGCCAAAGTTTATTGACAATAACAATCTGTTATCACCATTATAACTAAGATGATAATGTGATTTCATAGATCCAGAAGGAAGGTACAGGTGGTTTGCAATGTTGATTACAGATAACTTATCAGCATGGAGATAATAGCACTAGTTCCTAGGTCCAATAAGACTGCGAGGCTTGCATGTTTGCAAGTTTCATTGACAATATCTTATCACTGTGTTAATCAGTACAACAATCAGTCAACATTGAACACCATCATTCATCATTGATATAAATGTGCATTGCTGAGTAGAAGTTACCAGGAAGGTATGTCCTAGGACCTGGATTTTCCTCTACCAATACATCATTTGAAAGTCTCAGTAATAATGGCACATAAACATTGTGATGGTATATAATTTGAATACACCATAAGCACTATTCACTGTTCTTTCGACTCTTAATCAATTGGTTCTTAAGATATGACAAGCAAAATACATTAATATAAAACATTAATAGTATTGATACCAAAGCTTGCCTTTCAGACAGCAGAAACTGTTTCAACGGTCTAGAAAATTGTGGTGTGAACCACTCCTGGAGTGATGAACTTCAATAATGATGCACATATTTGTAGCCTTAAACTTAATATTTTGTTTGAATATATCAGCAAAATGGCTGCCTTTTTATTTATACCTGCACAATGGCTGGTTTCAATTTTAATACCTGCACAATGGCAAGGTCTAACTTTAATACCTGCACAATGGCAAGGTTTTTGCTTGCCATATCTCAAGAAGCAATTGATTAAGAGTCAAAAGAAAGTGAATTGTGCTTATGGTATGTTCAAATTATATACTATCACAATGTTTATGTGCCATTCAAATAATGTGCCATTCAAATTCATTGCTTTCAAATAATGTGGAGGAAAATCTAGGTCCTAGGACATACCTTCCTGGTAACCACAACTGAAGCAATACACGTTTATATCAATGATGAATGATGGCATTCAATGTTGACTGATTGTAGGACTGATTACCACAGTGATAAGATATTGTCAATGAAAATTGCAAACAAGCCACGCAGTATTAATTAAAGATTTGTACGCTCGTATAATCCGGTTGTGATCAAAATTGCTCGGCAGTGGACAAATGAGCGATTGAAATGACAAATATTGACACAAATAATGCAACGTTGATTTTACCTTGACTTTTATACAGAAATTTGCCAAAACTCAAAGCAGCCCCTTCGAATAAAAATCTGATTAAACGTCGGAAATGTTTCGAGTGTTTCCTTCAGCGCCAATCTGTCCGAGTGATTACCGACGAGTGCCGAAGACCCTACCCTCCATGCTACGCGGACACTTTCGACTCTGACATAGTGGTTAGCCGCGCATGCGCAGCGGCTACCCACAAAAATTCTGCCGTGTTACTAAACTACCATGATCCTTTGCAATTCCGCAAGAGGTCCAATTAAAGGGGACTTTTGCCACTAGAACTAACATAATGAACATGTTAAGTACAGTCGTGAAAGAGGAACAATCAAAGACAACAGCCACAAGTACTAATACTCGGAAAACACTGCAAGGCACCGATCATCGTGTATCAAGTCAAAAAACAGCCCTTGAGGAAGAATATGCCATACGATTTCCAGTGAAGCGTCAATGTAAAGAAGCTTCAAGCGAGTCATTGTTTGCCGGGTGAACAAGAGAAAGAAGATTTTCATTTAGCTCTAAAACTACAGCAACAAGAAATCGAAATCGATTCCGATGGCGTAGAATCAGTCAACTGCAGTGAGGACGAAGACCAGATACAATGCGAAGCAAACGCGCCTGCGGCTTTGTTATGTTTAAAAAGTCGGCGTAAATAGAACAATGGCACCGTTAATACAAATGCTATATATATTGCTACTAAATGTTAATTGTTTGGTCTGCGCCCTGATCCTATTAGACGGACGTTGATATTTAGGGATGCACCATTATATTTGCGGCTAGTTCATATTTATTTTTTTTGAGTTTGATTTTTCAACGGTATGAGCTTTATCGTTTGTACAATTTATTAAATATTAAGTTCCGAAAATTTATTTAAAATCTAAGTTTACTGAAGTTCGTATGAAATTCATACATGAATTTGGGAACTTTTGCGTTCAGCTTTGTGTTGATTATAACATTTTTTTTCCTGAAATCGACATGTTACATATTTCTATTTTTAGCAAATCCTATAGCTAATGATAAACAGATAATGATAAACATAAACAGACGCGCTTCGGGTTATGTTGTCTCTTCTGTTCAAAGTTATAACAGTGCGTTCAATCATCACTTTTTTCTATTCAAAGCTACTAGAAATACATGCATACAAAGTCCCAAATAAACATATATTTCCATCATTGAAATTCTATAATACTCGTTTCTGCTGAATGATCGGAGTCGCAAAGTAAAATCCTATATCTTGGTACAATTATAAAGTCTACTCTCGAGCTATCAAATTCGACTATAATCATAATTGTGCTACGAATTGCTTTAAAAATAATACAGTTTTAGCGAAATTTCAATTGCTTTTTAAACAGATTCACCATTAAAAATAAATACTTTTCAAATCAAAATCATTTTAACGAAATCAACGAATAAATTCAAAGAGGTGTCATACATTTGTTGATAAATCCACATATTTATAAACTTACAAAATACTTGCATGCTTTAGAATACAAAATCTACCTATTTACCTGTTCAAAAACACTCCAAAAATGCTTCAAAATCGTTGATTTTTCAACATCTATTTGAATCAAAGTTTTTCGATCCGAAAACACCATTTACTTTACGTTTTGATCAATTTTACGATTGAATTTTTCCGTATATTTTCAAAACCATCCAAATGAAAAATTTTTTTTTAAAAATTTTATAATTCAAAATATCAGTTATGCTGACGCGAACCAAAATTTTAATTTAGCCAATCGCATGCTTCCAAACGTTTGTTAGTTACCAGTTGTAACTCGTCTTAAACTTACGCATGCGCATAACTTACAAAAACCCCCAACATCCATGACATAATGGCGGACAACTTTCATTTCGCATTTGCATTCCCGGGCGTAATTAAAATCTCCGGGCGGAATTAGTACCCTCGCCCGGTGCTTCACACCGGCTCGGGGATCAAACAGTAATTGTATTCATTATTTTACTTCCTCGCCTCGTCCCTCGCCACTGCTCGGCTTTGCTTACGTAAGACTTTCTATACTTCAAGGTAACCTGTATATTCGAAAAATCCTTTCATGTCTCCAGGTGTAATTGCCTCTAATGAAGTGTACATGTTATATATGCATTCAGGAATTGTTATGTTCGTACAGTCTCCAAATCTATACTTCAATAACGTACGCATCTTTCCAAACACGTATTCTGCAGGGTTGAAATCGGGCGAGTAAGCAGGCATATATACCAGTTCTATGTCAATATCATTTAAAAATTCTCTTAAGATTCTGCCTCCATCGTAGTGATGGGTTCCGCAATTGTCCATAACAATAACAGAACCAGGTTCTAACACGGGCTGTCCAGTTCGAACATTTATAGAGTCGGAAGCTTCTTCAAAAAATTTGAGAAAATCTAAGGTATCTGCACTCCAGTCAACTGTATTTGCGTAATCTACGCCAGTTAGTGAACACATAAGGTTAACCGTTGTATTTGCAGTTTCGGCGTACCTCTGAAATTCTACCACTTTCTCTCATCGGGGCATGCCCGTATCTTCGCGCAGTGTGCTTTGGTAATTTTAAACCACATTCATCAAAAAATTTGAGAGTATATGGATTTTTACCATGCAGGTATTCGATGAAAACCTGTGAATATGCCATGTTTTGTAAAGTGCATCGTTCTTGTGCAATTGTTACGAAATGCGAATATATGTAATTTAGCATTGTTAAAAAACACAAGGTCAATATCGACGAGGAACTTACTTGGGGAACACGTCATATAAAATGAAGTGTAAAGTAAATATTATGACCCTTCGGAATCACAAAATTACTTTTCCTGTCATAAGGTCACAGCCCATGGGATTTTCCTCCGAAACAATAGTATGTCGTACAAAGTACAAGTGTCACGACTCAAGAACATAAGTTCTTAGCGGATACTAGTTTATGTCAATCATGTCTTTGTTATATTTTGCTCGGTTAAGCACTTGAAGCCTTACGTCACTAAAAGCCTAATTCGATGAAATTATTTGTAAAATAGTTTATAAGTTGAGATACGGTTCACAGAGTAATAAGTTGATGCTTGTGCTTTAAGTTGATGATAAATAGTTTAAGTTGTGAACAAGTTTTAACAGTGATCGATTAAGTAAAAGACCAACTTGACTAGTGCGTCACCGGCCTTAAGTAAACAAAGTATGAGAGCTGGACCGAGCTTCTAACGCCAACCCACACTTACAACCTACAACGCTGATTGGATTGTGTGAATCACACCATCTTGCACAGGGCGTCTTCAAGATCCCCTCAAATTTTATTATAAAAGGAGGCGCACAGCAACAGAACATTCAGTGGACTAAACACGAGAGTGGACTAAAAAGAGTGGACTAAGCACGAGAGTGGACTAAACACGAGAGTGGGCTAAACACGAGAGTGGACTAAAAGGAGTGGACTAGTGGAGTAAAAAGTATATGAAACGTTGGAGAAGCTCAACCTGACAGAACAGACAGCCAAGACGAGAACAGAAAACAAAGAGGTCCGAAAGGACGAATAATCCGAAGAGAAGAGAAGAATGAGAAAGAAGAGAACTTTAGTGAACTTTAGTAAAAACGTTGTAAAAGATCTCCTACCTTGCGCATATAGAAATAACATAATATAGACTTAACATTTGGTGCAGGATCGGCCTTACAAAACGTTTCGGAAACTCAATCAGTCCACTATTAGTATATACTCACAAGAAATCAGAACAATCAATATTACAAACATTGCTTAGAAACAGGTGCTGAAGCGACCTGATGACTGGTTCGAAAGAAACGCACGCTCTGTATTTATCCATACTTCTACTTACGGCAATGCTAGACTTTGTTTCACGTTTTGGATGTCTCTTCAAGACAGCTGTCCACAACCTCTACACTTCCCATGAACTAGAATTGAAACTACAATCGTTTTGCCCTCAGTCTGCAGTCCAAGACGAGTTTGGCAATATGTTCTTCCTCTATCCTAATATGATGGCTATGTCGAATATCTAGCCAACGAGGTACCAGTGGAAGCCTCCGTGGTCGTTGAAATACGACTACTGAGAGTCTGAGACGTATGAAAGTTTCAGAATTTACCGGATCCTTCCTGATGGTCAGCGCGTTTATAAATGGACATGAAACTGGACACATTTTAAGATTTGTATAATTTAAGTTTTTGTCATTGACATGACATGTTACATGTATATGTTATTATGTCTGTTTTTGTTCGATAATATTAAACACGAGAGTATAGCTGTTCAACTAAAATTCCTTAGGTACACTCAGCATGCTCATTAAACATGTTGCCGTAGGATAGCGCATGCATGTTTTTAATTGGGTCAGTGTATAAATTTCATTCTGACGCTTTTAGTTATGCGTCATTCGTTGAAAATATATTTTTCTCTTCCCCCGGGACAGTCAAGGGTCTCCCAAACTTGTTGTAATAGATTATAATTCTTTTTAAGCTAAAAGCTTAAATATTAGGCACATTCTTGTTTTCTCTATGTAGACTCGGTATTTATATTGTTGATGAAAACCTACATTTTGGAGTTTGGTTTGCTGTGCATGGCGTTTAAAAATTTAAAATGAGTTTCAGTAATATTAAGAAATATACGTGTAAAATTTGTTTGCATGAGTTGAAATATTTTGAAGAATTATTAAGACGTATATATAGGTTTAGGTTATTATTATGGAGAGATGTTTTGTCGGAAGAGCTTTATAATAATTTCCTGTTATGTGAAGTTGATCAACCAAAAATCTGAATACAATAGACCTTATGCATAATGACGTCATAACACCTTAAGCGCGCGGTTAATTATGGTCTTTGTGGTCACAGAGCGGGAAAATAATTTCAAGATGGCTACTGTCGAAAGTGAGTGTTTTGAAGTTCTTAACTGTCTTTTAAAGGCTGTTCAAGCCAACGAGGATTCTAGTTCTTTTGAGAACTCTTGCACGGATCCTCTGCGGTTGGATAACTCTGAAAGTCAGTGCACTAGTCGGCTTTCTTCGTCGAATTTTACGAGGCCATGTGGAGGTGCTGGAGGTTATACGTGTTGTGTTCCTGGTTGTTAAAGCAACCACAAAAGGAATCCAGAGCTTTCCTTTTATAGCATTCCTAGTGGTAAAAGTGAAGAGTCGAAAGAACTTCGAAAGAAGTGGATTAATCTCATTTCACGCAGGGATTTCTCTCCTACAATTGGTCATAGAATTTGTTCGTTGCATTTTCCTGGGGGACGTAAAACCTATTTAAACAACCTTCCTACGATTGTTCCCAAAGCAACCAGACCTACACCAACGAAACCTCGTTCAACGGTAAAGGCAAAAAATCGGACTCTTGTATCATGTACAAAATCTGTACCTGCTAAACGCAGACCTTTTTCAGAACTTGATGATAACAATAATTCATCACGCTCAATAGAAGAACCAGATAAAATGGCTACACCTGTAAATGAGAATATTGATCCTATTGCTTGTTTACAAGAACAAACGGAAAAACTTTTAGCAACTAATGAGAAACTTAAGGAGGAGAATGGAAGACTTAAAAATGAAAATAAATGTCAAAAAGATGAGATAAGAGGATTAACGGAGCAACTGGAACAAGAGAGGAAAAGAATACGTTTTTCAATTGAATGTTTTAAGGACAATGACATTCTCATTAGGTTTTATACGGGGCTGGAAGACTACAAAACCTTCAAAACATTGTTTGATTCATTTGGACCGGCAGTGAATAATCTGGTGTATTATGGTACCAAGACTGATTTGGAAAGGTTAAGCTCTGAAGATGTAATTAAACGTGGACCTAAAAGAACAAATTCACCTGAACAGGAATTTTTCCTTGTGTTGGCTCGCTTGCGATTGGGGCTTTTAGAAGAAGATATAGCGACCAGAGCTGGGTTGTCTCAATCACATATGTCAAGAATATTTATTACTTGGGTTGACTTCTTGCATTCAAGGTTACGTAGCTTTCCAATTTGGCCATCCAGAAAAGCAGTTGATAATTCAATGCCAGCTTCATTTAGAGATATGTATCCTTCGACACGAGTTATTATTGATTGCACAGAAATATTTATTGAAAAACCAAATTCTTTTAGAAGTCAAAGTGCAACATTCTCCACTTACAAAAGCCACAACACTGCCAAGGGTTTAGTTGGCATAAGCCCATCAGGAGCTGTCACTTTTGTATCGGATTTGTATGCAGGAAGATCAAGTGATCAACAAATTACTATTGATTGTGGAATTCTGAACTTGGTAGAAAATGGAGACTCAATTATGGCTGATAGAGGATTTGATATTGAGCACAATTTACCAGATGGAGTGTCACTAAATATACCACCATTCATGCGTGAGAAAGAGCACTTGTCAATTGAAGAGGAAACCAAGACTCGAAGAATAGCTTCTGTTAGGATCCATGTGGAGCGGGCAATTGCCAGAATAAAGAATTTTAAAATTTTAAGTACAGTCTTTCCAATTTCCATGGCAGCAAATTTAAACAAAATTTGGGTGATTTGTTGTTACCTTTCTAACTTTTTACCACCACTACTTGTAGAAAATAACAAGCTGGACTAGATGATAGTTTTTCTGCAATCCTCCTTGCTTTATTATTTATTCGGCCTAACAAGATGATTTTACCTGACATTGACATGGCTGGAGTTAACCTTTTAAAAGGCAACCCTATAGCATTTCATTCTATCAAAGGCTTAAAATTTGCCCATAATAAAGGCTAGGTCCAAAACATTTTCACATTAAATCCATTGTAGGCTGTGAAACTTTATTAAACTTTGTGTGTCCTACCCCTTAATGGTTAATCTATTCTTTAACCCATTAAGTGCCAGGGTTTCCCCAGACAAGTAAAATCATCTGGCGTTTGTTAAAAAAAAATAAGTAGGGCGCACTGGGGCACTTTGCCAGTTAATGAGTTAAAGGTATTTGCATCTATTATTTGGAATTTTTAACAGAAATATACTAGAGTAGAGGGGTAACCTTCACCTTACTCCCAATAAAAGCCTTTGAAAGTTTTTAGAGTGTTACAAAACTGTAACCATTTTGTGGCTCATGAACTCTTTAACCTATTAATTAAAGTGGCAATGCACCCCAGTGCTCCCTACTTATTTTTTTGACAAACACCAGGCGATTTTACTTGTCAATGGAGAAGCCCTGGTGCTTAATGCAGTGGTGCAGCCAGCCCAACAAATTAGTCATGCTATGCAAATTTTAACTTATTATTCATTTCTTTAGAAATTGATTGTTTTCATGGTCTATGAACACGAAATTATTTGCATAGCATGACCAAATTGTCAGGCTGGCTTCGCTACTGGCTTAATGCGTTAAGCAGCAATGCACTCCGATGTGCCCTAGTTTATTATTTTACTACATGTCTAATGCCAGATGACTTGTCAAGTAGAGAGTGTTGCCACTCAATGGGTTAAACAACAGTAATAACGTGTTGCTTGAGGACAGGATTTCATTAGTCAATGAAGTTAATCTAGGAAATTAGCTTCTCGAATTATCACAGTTGATACATATACTTTACCTTGCTCCTTCAATATTGTCTTAATTAAGTACTATTTAAAGCATGCACAGGAGTGTTTTATCATATTTAAAATGCAAGTGCGCAGCACGAGCATTTCACATATGATAAAACAGGACTACAAATGCTTTAAATGACCAAAAACATGAATACAATAGATGCTGTCTCATTAGTATTCTTTGTTGCTGATTAGTGTGGACTGTATATAAAGAATACTAATGAAGATGAGTTTTATCAGGTATATAGCCACTTCAAGTGACATATTTTGGTATAAGTAAAAAAGCCAGTAAAAAACAATTGATGTGTGTTTTATTAATGTCATTTACAAGAAGGAAGAATAAATGAAAAGTAAAATGATGTTAGTTCTGGCAGCATTTTGTTCTCCCACAAAGAAGTGTCCTTATAGATACGCTGAACATGCATATCAGCATTGGTGTATACCACAAAATCAATCCAGGGTAAATTTAAAATGTTCAAGACACCTTAACATTGATAATAATATGCATGGTTCACTTTAAGTTCTAATCCACTTTCGCTTTTTTTTAAATAAAAACCTTTGACACTTTGTGCAGTTTCATTAACATTCATTTCTTTCACTGAGTAAGGACACTTAACTTCAATGCATCCAACTGGAACACCATCTTTTATGACAATTCCATCAGGGCTACAACCCAGCCATGGCCACTGGGGACTGATGACTAACCCACAACATGTGACAAAAGCACTGCCTTTTAATGTTACATCTTGATATTTAGCAATTGCATTACTTTCATTATCCAGGCCCCACTGTACAGATGCAGGCACTTTTCTTTTCTCATGATCAACACATAAAATTGATTCAATCAGTGAAGCTGGATGGTTTTTCTTTCTATATTTGATAACTTTGCCAAAAATTGAAGCAGTAAGCCTTTTAGATCGTTCAGCGTACCATTGAGGATCTTTGTTTTGCCTCATAGTACTCAAACATATATCCTTAGCAGTGGATACAGTCAACCCAACTTTTGTTTTACTAGTTCTAGTTGTTCTGGGCTGTAATCAGATGGAGGGGTGTAACCATTTGGCACATTTTTAAAGATCTGATCAACCAGTTGACTTGGTGGTATTTGCGTTGGAATAGGAACAGAGCTGTTGTCCAGTTTTCTATTTTGCAACTGATTACAAGATGTCTCGAAAAGTTCACATGGCTTATAGTTATTTGAGGCTATAGCTTCACGAAATAGTGAAGCGCAATTGGCTTTCTCAAATGCATTTGCCATAGACTTAATTTCTTCTGCAGTCACAGTCCGAGCAAATGGTGGAGTAGCACAATAGTCTTCCCTACTCCCTTTTACAATATACCTTTTGGCAGGTTTGTTCACATCAACTTTTTCAAATAGCATTTCTTCAAATTTAACACCTTTGTCCAGGGTCTTTGAGCTTCCAGAGGGCACACTCCATTTTTGAGGAAGTTGTGTGCATGTCAATTCCACAGGAACGTGTTTCAAATTCAGATTGACAAAGTCCAAAATAGTGTACAATAGAGCAGCTACGTGTTTGCAGCAACCTCCTTGGCCAGCCTTACAAGAACACTTAGCATATTCCACTTCACCGTTAACTTGGATTAAATGAACATAAACAGGATAGCTGACGCTCTTCATGGAAGCACCAACACGCGCTTTCACCACCAACAACAGCTTCGAGGCTTGCACATTTGGCTTGACAAAAGTACTTTTTACATAACCTTCTTTCCATAGTCCATAGCCTTTCTTCATATTTCGATAAGCTTTTGGAGCCATTTTATCAGGCATTGTACGGCTATTTTTTACAAGCTTATTCTCCAGCTTTTCATGAGTAAATCCTGGAAGTTTCTCTAAGCATTTTATCCAATCACGGTTGTCAGAATTGAAGATATCTTCACTTGTTTCCGACTCTACCAGCTTTCGAGGACATGCAGTACCTCCACATGGCCTCGTAAAATTCGACGAAGAAAGCCGACTAGTGCACTGACTTTCAGAGTTATCCAACCGCAGAGGATCCGTGCAAGAGTTCTCAAAAGAACTAGAATCCTCGTTGGCTTGAACAGCCTTTAAAAGACAGTTAAGAACTTCAAAACACTCACTTTCGACAGTAGCCATCTTGAAATTATTTTTCCCGCTCTGTGACCACAAAGACCATAATTAACCGCGCGCTTAAGGTGTTATGACGTCATTATGCATAAGGTCTATTTTCGCTGTTGGAATGATAAGATATTTTATGAAATTTGAATAATTTTTGGTACACTTTCTGAGTACTTTTCTTAAGTACACGAATAAAACGACAAGAGAACAGTTTACAAGCCACGAGACAGTCATCACAAAGCATACAAAGAATATTTAAAAAATCAACTTTTAAAATGAACAGTCCTCATGGTATTGAAAGAAATTTCTCAATGTTGTAACATATGTAATTTGAGTAATAAAATATTTTCTTCGCAAATCCTAAGTTTGTTTATAATTATGTATAGCGTGAGCGCACAGCTCAGTGAGCTCCATATATATCTGGAGTAAGAACTTGAGACTTCCGTGAGGCCAAAAAGTGAAGCCAAAGATGGCGGATATTGAAGCGCTATAGTACGTCAGTTTCAGTCTTCCTATATGTGCGCAGTTATCTAAATTCGTATTTTTTAACTTTATTTTTTCCTATTTTTGAGTAAAAATGAGGGGAATTTCAATGAGAGGTATAATACTAATGTTTGATACTGAGATACTTTTATATTTTAATTAAATTAACCAAGAAATAAGCGATTTCTCACTAAGAAAGCTACGGAGTGGCGGGTTGTTGATGTTTTCGGCTTTTCGCAAATCACTGACAACATTTACTACAGAATATGCTTCCCAAAAAAAGATAGATACTAGTAAAACTTTTCTGAGTTCAATTCATCTGTATCAGGCTTTCATTCATGTAAAAAGTAATAGGAAAGAAAATTATGCTGAAAAACGTACGGGTTTGAAATATTGGCTACTAATATATGATTATGAAATTTATAAACAAGACTCATAATGCACGTATAAAAGAAACCTTAAAAAGAGCTCTATTATAGGAAAGCTAACCAAAAAATAAAGGAAAACCAGAGTTAAAGCGTTTCGAAACAAAAAACGAAACAAAAAACTGAAACATGAGGTGAAAATATATGGAAATAAATCAAAATTAAAGGTATGTGCGTAGTTGAATTTATGGCGAAAAATGCATATTTACTCACACTTACAGTCGGAAAATGCGGCACCCACATTGAGTAAATGCAAAGAATCACATTCTCAGTAAAATGAATAAATTTTTTCCATTCTTGTGCTCGCAAAATGATGAAAAACACGAAAATCTGAGGGTTTCGGGAACGTCACTCCCGGTCAAAAACAATGAGAAATATTTGGCCGCGCGAGTTAGGAGACTGAAACTGACGTACAATAGCACTTCCATCTCCGCCATCTTTGGCTTCACTTTTTGTACCCAAAGTTCTTACTCCAGATATATTTGGAGCTCACTGGCACAGCCCTCTCACGTAAGTCATTCCACGTGTAAGCTATGTTGCAATAACACACTTGTGCCGATAACATCATCTCGCGTGGAGGCCGCGCATACTTTCGGTAAAAACCGACTGTTCCCGAGAAAAACGGTCTCCCCAAGTTGCCTTTACTTAAATCCTTCACAACTCTCATCCTGGTCGGTCTTTAGTGGGTATCACACAGCGGATGAATCGCGCCATTCGCCCTCCACATCATCATAGCCGTATCAAATAGCGAACGATCGACCTAGTTCAGGGCAAAAGAATTCACAGCATTTAGGGTTGTTCTTGTTGCAAACCATTCGTAGAGATTGCGGTCGCAGGCACTCCATGTAAGCACACCATTGCTGTGTTTTCTCGTGCAATATCTGTTCGATGTGCGATATTTATTTTCATGCTTTCCTTTGTTTTTTCGGGCGAGTATGTTCAGGTTCGTCCTGTCATTAAAACATATTACCAGTAATATACATATATACATATATATATATATATATATATATATATATATATATATATATATATATATATATATATATATATATAATATATATATATATATATATATATATATATATATATATATATATATAATATATATATATATATATATATATATATATATATATATATATAC